TTCAGCGTAAAGGTAGATTAACTACCACAACATTTTTTTTCTCTTGTGCAAGCTAGTCGCTAAGGGACAAGCTAGTAGTCATAAGTTAAGATTATGACCAAGAAAGACAACACTCCTTCTAAGAAGCGTAGAGCTGAAAAGAAGAAGATGGAGAGAGAAGCCGCTAGCGCTGCCGCAGAAGCAACCGCTGCCGCTGTTGATGCGTTTAATCGCACTGTAGCCGAAGTACTTGCCTCTGACAATAATAGTCAAAAGGGCAATGCTTCAGATAGGGATGTAGCCACTCCGCTTAAGGAGACTACTTCCACTGATAGAGCCCGAGGGCCAACTATTGCCTCAACTTCTTACATTTACGAAGCCAGGAAGTGAGACAAGGGACACGTCTCAAGACGCCCCAACCCATTCTTCTGACGAAACTCAGAAAGGAAAGTCCCCAATTATGAGGGCGTCCCCAATTATAGGGGACAAGGACAAATCTCAGAAGGAACCTATTATGGAACCAGAAGAGGATGCAAGCTCAAGTGGCAAACTCGAATCTACGTCCGAGACTACTAAGCCAACGCGCATAAGTAAGTTAATTACTGGAAACGCCGATCTTAAGAATCCGCTAGCAACTATTATGAAAGACTTGACTGTCGAACATATAGATCAATTAAATAGATCAGGAAAACATCCACAGCACTTACGCAAGCATGTTTCCCCGGGCATTACTGAAGCCCTACAGAAGTGGACAGAACGTCGACATGCAATTACGCCCAAAAACTCAAGCTCTACACCTGAGGCATATGATCCAGATGTGCTCAGCGACGCTATACCTTACGAGGCACTACTGCCAGAAGTTCAGGCTCATTACTCGCCTGTTCTAACACCCGGCCGTGAGTCACCCGTCCTCGAGGGTATTGTAAACGCAGAGGTAAGGAGATATACTCCGCCACTTGTACCCAATTGGGATGATAATCGTCGGAAACCAGTTAAGACTGGGTATGTTATTCCGACGCATAGATCACCCAAGGTTATAATACCAACCGCTATCTATGAAACAGAGCACCGAAAGGCCTCTACTATGGATTTTACAAGGGATAATAAACACCTCCGTAGACGTGTGAACGATGTCGAGTTTAATCGCTTCAACCGCACAGCTTTACACCAACCCGCAGAGGATTTCCACTCTGATGAGGTGACCGACCTTAATAAATCGGTCGACGATTATACCAATAAAATGGAAATCGCCCATGCTGCGTATCCTGCTGATGACGTAGCATACTATGCGAATACGATTGCGATTAAGCAAAAGCGCATAGATCAGTTTCTTCAGGCCCAACGTGAACAAGACCACAGGACAACCAGAAGTACAAGGGACAGATCAGTCGACTTAAGTCGAACTGGGATGCCAATAGCAAGCAGGTCGAGTCTATAAACAACCATGACCTCGACACGCTAACCCGTACGCTCAATGCGTTTACGGTCATGCTGGAGACGAATGATATCGCTCCCCAGCAATGGATCTCTGCCTTAATGCAGACATTTGACCATACAGGAACCAGTTATCTGATCCTGCAGCGACACCAGCATGAGCTAGACACTTGTCGTGACTGGCCAGCTGTGTGTTGGTTGGTTACATCCTTGTTAAGTAAGGACATGCGTAGCCCTGGGCTGAAATCAATTTTAACTGAACCAGTTGAGAACACGCCCATTCAGAGTTATATTCTGAAGCTAGATGCTGACCTGAAACGTCCAGATATAACAAAGGACAAGGCACAGCGATGGTACGAGTTCCTGGTTATGCACGTGTTCGGTAAGAACATAGGGAATAACGTCCGTGAGAGCCTGTACACCGAGTTGCGACGTAAACACGCGACTGAGGCTCGAGACAAGGGACATGAAACAAAGTTTCATCTATCCCGACTTACGTGGGAACAGTTTTATGATACTGTATCCACCCTTTTCCCCGCACATCGAGTAACATCGAAGGGAAAAGCGGCTGTTAAGAAGCCGCGGGAGCTCACCGATCACGGGTACGTATCCAGGCAGACCTCAAGCGAGAGACCCCAACATACACGTGCTCGCGACTTCACTTTATCCACGCGACCCGATAAACGGGCACGCGCAGGAGCGAAGAACATGTAACCTCCATTTAAGGATATTAAGAAATGTGCCGACGCACAGTGTGGGTATGAGATGTACCAGTTAACCTATAACGGTTATTGGAATGGTCCACCTGTACACACTTTCTTACTAAGTGTGACAAGTGTGAGAAGACGAATGGCTATCACACTAAGTCTTGTGACAGAAAGCCCAACATTAAGTTGGAGTGACGGTACTACCAGGCACAATCGTTACACAGACAATACAACGACTCTTTAGATGAGCGTGTATTAATCCCTGTATATTGCAATGGAAATAAAATCCTTGCGTTGATTGACCCTGGTTCAGAAATTTCATGTATATCCGATCGCTTTGCATTAACGAAAGATATCGAAAGGAGAACACAAACAACTCATCTCATTTTAGCTGATGATAAAACGGCTAAGTGTGATTCCATGGCCACATATGTTAAAATCTCCCTGGCCGATGATAGAAATATAACTACCCAAGCTGTGATAGTTGAGATGTCACAGAAGTACGACATTATAGTCGGAATGAATGATTTACACACTCTAGGTATAACCGTAACTGGTCTACCAACTAACATAGATCCATTAACGGAACAATCAGACGATAACTGTCTGAATCCATATAAGCCCCCGTCAGACACAGTCAAGGCATTAATACCTGACTTTGCGAACAAAATAATGGATCTGATTCTTGTTAATAAGAAAATAAAGATCACAGATTGGGCAAAATTCCGCTTTAACGTTGGATATGTCAGCCTTGACTTAACCAAGGTAGACTTTACACAGTTAAAGTGCCCCTCAAGGAACTATGTATCCTGGAGAAACGAGGCTGTCGTAAAAGAACAAGTTGAGAAATGGCTAGCAGATGGTGTGATAGAAATTAACTATCAACAAACGCCAGTTAACTTGGCACTGCTAGCCGTAGACCAACATAACTCTGACGGATCGTCTAAGAAAGTCAGGGTATGTTTAGATATAAGAGTCCAATAAATAATTTTTTGCCAACTCATAGCTTTCACTTACCTTGTATTAACGAGCTACTGCGAAGGATGGAAGGTGTTACAGTGTTTACAACTATAGACCTTACACAAGGATACCATCACCCACCGTAAATACTTTAGCTTTACGTGGAAAGGCAAACAATACCGGTTCAGAGGTGCACTTTTCGGGCTACACTCTTTACCAGCATTCTTCCAACAAATAATGGAAGAAATGTTTGCAGACGTGACAAACGCGCAAGTCTATATAGATGACATAGTCATCTTTTCTAAGACTACAGGCGAACACGCCGCATTAGTTAGACGAGTCCTTAAGAGACTCAATGAGCAAAACTTCAAGATTAATGAGAAGAAATGCCACTTCGGAATGAGCGAAATACAGCTCTTAGGCTACCATATATCTGGGGAAGGTATTAAGATCGACCCCGGTAAGGTAGAACACCTGTTAGATTGGCGAGCACCAACTACAGGAAGATATGTTAACAGCAGGTGTGGGTTTGTAAACTTCTTTTCAGATAGAGTACCACAATTAGCTGACTACCTTAAACCTTTTGGACACTTAAGATGTCATAAAGGCAAACTAGAAGACTTGTGGACTAAAGATTGTGATGACGCATTTAAAGCGCTCAAGCACGCAATCCAACAAGCCTTGTTGTACAAGGACCAGTCGATGGCGTGCCGTTTGAAATAGCAACGGACGCATCAGACTCAGCCTTAGGAGGAGTATCATATCAGGTTATAGATGACAAACCTAGATATATACAATTCTTTAGTCGAGCAATGAATGCTTCACAGTTGAATTATCTAACTGTTAAACAAGAGCTATTAGCCATAGTGACAGTTTTAACACACTTCCGAGATTACTTATACGGATCAGTATTTACACTGATGTGTGATCAGAAATCTCGTTAATATATGAAAGAGATGAAACCCGACTCGCAATTACTTAGTCGCTGGCATGATACAATATCAAAGTTTCATTTTGAT